TATATATATATATATATATATATATATACAAAGTTATTTGTTAATAGCGTGAAGGGCGTTGTTTAATCGAGGAAAATTTATTCAGAATTGAAGAATGCAAAGCGCACTAAAACACTTTTGCAATAGAATCGAGAATAAAAGCACTTGAGAACAAATAACGTAGAATATTTTCCTTTTGGCTTTTAATTGCCATTTATAAGCAGTTATAGGATTATTATCGTTGCGACCAATGGGGCATTATAAGCTTGACCGAATTCACAAATATGTTAAAAAACGTTAGAAATTGTATGGAATTGTAAATACACGTTTATTAATAAGAATTCGTTTTTACTGTTAGAAATAAAAATGCTAATTACCGATATTTGATTGTGAAATCAATTGAACAAATAAAGTTAAGCATTATGTAGTGTGTAGAAAATATAAAATTATCTTGTTAATTGAAAATAATGAGAAATAAAGGAAAGATGGGGGAATGAAGAGGGGGCGAGGAGGGGGGGGGGAGTGATAAAAATATATAAACAAAAAAATTATCGTACAATGTAAAGACAGATCTTTATTTATTCAGAACAAAATGATAGATCGAAGCTTCTACTGCCATACTCATCAAGAAATGTCGTAACTGCCATTTTAACGAATACGAGATAAGATTACAACCGTAAAATTAAATCATGATTTTTTTTTTAATTTAATTTTAATCGAAAGCTGAAGATTGACAAAAAAAAAAAAAAATAAATAAATAAATAAATAATCGTTAAAACTTGATATTATAATCATTTGTCAGCTAATGTAAATACTTACATTTACAATTGTAATTGGAAAATTACAATTGATATTGTAATTTTGAGCATATTCGTCTTGGCATGACATACATGCACATTAACGTGCCTTTTGAAAGCCTTTTAATCTGCAAACTTTGTAGAATTATATGAACGGAAAGCGTATTATTTATCGTAAAAGACTGTTTTGAAAAATTCTGTTTTATTAATTATTTCTTTATTTCATTGTTATTATTATTATTATTATTATTATTATTATTATTACTAATTATTTTCGAATTTACTGTTAAGATTTAGTAAATTATTTTCACTCGCGTAAACGAGGCGATAGTGCTTATAAACGAGCCTCGGCCATAAGAACGATGAAAGAAGATAACGAAATTTTACAGTTCGAGTAGCGCCAGCGAGTAACGTAATAATAAATAATCCTCCTCCCAGGCTCGCCAATGCACGGATTGGTTATTTACGTGCTTTATAGCATTTTACGTGATGTGCAACTCCGTGTAAGGTGACGCGACACATTGTAACATTGATAGCGATCATTGGATACGTATTGGCTGTCGCGTTTGCGATTGTTAAAGGCCATTGTCTCGGTGTAGCTCGCGCAAGTGCTGGTACGTCAAGGTGAGCGGCAGCAGCGAGCGTCGAGGCGAAAAATCTCGGATTCGAGTGAAAAGGCCGTCGTGAGACAAAGAGAGAGAGAGAGAGAGATAGAGAGAGAGATAGAGAGAGAGAGAGAGAGAGTGAGTGAGTGATTTAGTGAAAGAGATAAAGGTAGAGAGGGAGCGATTTAGTGAAAGAGATAGAGATAGAGATAGAGAGGGCGGTGGGAGACAACCCGCCCCCACTCGCCGTTATAAAATTCGACTGGCTCGCCGAGCGCCAGTGTGTCACTCGAGGAGCGAGGGCAAAAAATTGAGGAGATCGCTCTAGACGGCCGATTAATAATCCCCTTGCGACTCTCGACATCGTCGAGTAGCCGTGGTGAGGAGGAGGTCGGGAGGGGGAGTGGAATGTCGCCGCTGGACAAAAAGTACCGGCGCGGCCGGGAATAGGTAAAGGGACGCTGCACCAGCGATTCACGGGACTCACCAGCGACGAGGAAGATCCTGCTGACTGGCGCGAGGATGCGTTCCCTTGGCCTCCGACGGCGGCGCTCGTGCCCTGAGCGCCTGCTGTGCCCTTCTTCTCATCCCTCGTGGCGCGCACCTGATTCAGCCGTAGGGTCACGCGACCCGAGCTTCCGCCTCCAGGCTGCTGCTGTCCACTACCTCCCGTCGCCTGTCTGTCCACTGCCAAACGATAAGAAGATATAGGAATTATTCACAGGCGGGCAAGTCACACGCTCACTCGATCTCCTCTCTCTCTCTCTCTCTCTCTCTCTCTCTCTCTCTCTCTCGCTTTCTGTTGGTCACCTCCTTTGTCCTTTATTTGAGCCTGCGGACGGGCGTATCTTGCGCGCGTCCACGTCTCTCTCACTGGTCCAGCTACTACGTACAAGCGCGAGACTGCGAGTTGATCGCGTACGAGGCAGCGAGACACGACGGCTGTTTCCTCTCCACGTCCCCTTCTCCGTGAGCCACGGTGAGGCTCGTGCACCCCACCTCCCACTTATAGTCGTCGCCTCTCCCTCCCGAGATCCTATCCGAGCTTATGCGTATAAACTGTGTTGTATACACACCGATAAACCACCAATTTCAAAATCATCTTCCGTCTGCCCCCGCCGCTACGGCCGCTGCCGCCATCGTCATCGCCACCTCCACCGTCAACGCTGATCCCTATATGCCATAATCGGCGCGGTGGGGCGACATTACTTTTGATTCCGGGAACTCGGCGACGATGGCCCCCGTATAACCTCTTTGCGCAGGCCGAATGTCATTTATGTCGTTCATGTCGGCACGCGGGGTGAACAGAACAGGCCAATGGTTCCGGCTGCCAATAAACGACGTGGGTCGGGTACGCTGAACGCGACGATGAATTGGACCGTGGGCGGACGGGGGGGGGGGACAAAGAGGAAGGAGCTGGCAGGACAACCCGGGGCACTCACCTTTGTTTTGAGGCGGTGTCCTGCGCATCTCATAGGGGGTCCCAGCGCCCTCGGCGTGCTGTAGCAAGCGGCCTGCCTGCAATTGCGAGGACGTCGACGACGAGGGCACGTCCGGGTCGTTGCGCTCGGCGGCAGCGCACTCGGCGGGCGAGCCAGCGGCTACGGGGCTCTCCGCCCCGGTGGCCGTCCTTACCTCGTCCGGCGAATCCGAGCCTGCGAACCCTCGTTTCTCGTTTTAATCAAGAGCTCTCTGGGCACTCGTCGAGCGTCGCGCCCGCACACACACGGGCATACACATACACGCGCGCGCGCACCACAGCCACCACCCGCCGCTCTCCTCTTTTTATGCGCGCATAATTAATAACCGTAGGTTAGCGACCAGCTACGAGCCTATCGGCTGGTCGCCCTCGCTGCCTGTAGGACTCTTCCGCACTGTTTCCCACTCTCTCGCCTTCGAAAATGGCAGTAATCCAATATTGCAGTAATGCAGCGTTACGGTCTGCCCTGGAGGGCGAATATTTAACCTCAAAATCTATGCGCCGCAACTGCCATGGGTTCGCGTACGTGTATTTAATCGACGCACGACTGGCTTACCGTTACCACCGTCTACTACTCCCTTTAGCTGCTTTATTTCATTCTCTCTCTCTCTCTCTCTCTCTCTTTCTTTCTTTCTTTCTTTCTTTCCTTCTTCTCCTTTCTACCTTCCTTCCCTCTATCTCTATTTACTTCTTTTCGTTTCTATCTTTCTCCCTTTCACCCTCTCTCGCACTCTTTCGCACCCTCACGTTGTCTTACACGTTGCTTCTCGTGAATGTGCGGTTTGACTTTTTCTCTTTCACTTGTGTAAATAAAGGAGCTACGGCGTAGCGAGTCGAGCGTCGGCGCAACTACTATGGTCCTCCCTCCTACTCACTCACTCATCTCTCATGCGCGCGCGCAAGCGCACACTACACACGCGCTCTCCTCTCGTGTCGTCTCACGGTCGACGTGCACGGCAGCGGCGCTCGTACTTTGCGAGCCAAAGAGCAGCAACGAGGTCTGCTGCACGGGTACCCGGTCGACGTGCCCGAGGCGGTATGCGCGGATTATAGTTCTGTCTCGATTGGGCGGTGACGATTCCGCTGCGGATTCGGACCAACCTCAACCTCAACCTCAACCACCACCTCCACCTCCACCTCAACCTCAACCACCACCACCTTCTCTTTCTCTTTCTCTTCCCCGTCTTCTTCCGCGGACGGAGGTTCAGCGGCGTCATCTGGTGGCAAACCGTGGGTTCCTGTTGCCCGACCTTAAGGAGGTAGGATGCACGCAAGCCGCATCGTTTGTTATTGCAGAATTTTTTTTTACAATTTGTCTTCTTTTTCTTTTTTGAAGACGAAGACGAAGACGAAAACGACGACGAAGAAACGGAATCAGAACAAAAGGCCTTGAAATACCAAACATCCGGGGAAAAACTTATGAGATTTACGGCGAATATCTAATTGCAAATGCCTAATGTATTTCGGCGATGAAACGATTTCGTTCGGCCCGGTATTTCTTACCCAATTATGCACGTGCAATAGCATATAAAGTAGTTTTTTTCTTAACTATATAAAAATTTATTTCGCGCGGATGATCCTTGTTATAATAAGTTCCACGAACATTCGTGCAAAAATCACAACAAAGAAAATAAAATTCGATTAAACGCTGATAAACGAGTGCGATTTTACATAATCATTTATACTCTTCTATACTCTACATACACCATTGACACTTTATTCTTATCATTTTCAATAATTGTATGTTCATTGTTGAATTTAATTAGTATCTCACCTGAGGCAAACGTAGTGGCATCTATGCATATATTTAAAGAATTTCCTATGCTCTCTTAAGCGTTTTAAATTTTCTTAAAAATTACCTCATTGGCATTCAGACAGAAGGCAAATTCAAATTTAATATTCAAGTTTTACTATTAAAATAAATGTAATTGTACATTTAAAAACTGTTTGTAATATAGTCATTTAATTGAAATGGATTATTAAATGCATGATATAAAAATCAAATAAAATTTGTGGAAAATTGTTTAATTTCCGAAAGCTTACTTCTCTTCATTGAAATGTTCCTATAAATGAGCTGTTATATAAATTTTTTTAAATCTATCTCTTCAAAACATTACAAGAAAATTTTATTTACGTTATCTTTAAACTAAGGATTTTCTATGCATATTTCACATGCGCGCGCGTGCGCACGCATACACAGAGAGAGAGAGAGAGAGAGAGCCACATAAAAAATGTAAACTTTTAACGAAGTCTCAAGGAATAAGAAATAATTACCAATTTGTCTTTATCATTTCAACTTCTACTTAATCTACATTAACGTATAAGAAGATTTTCGACAATTATCTAATTTTTACGTTTGAGGCAACGACTCGGCTAACATAAAAACTTATAATAAAACATTTCTAAATAAAGATTATTATTTATGAAAATATTATTTATAAAAATAGGAATTTGAATGTTTTAACTTATATCGTGCCTGAAACAACATAGTTTTAGTTTAATCCGAGCTTATGTGCTCTCTGTTTCTAAAAGCATTACAAAAGCATTGAGTCTGATTATACGAAATGTGCAGAAATCGATATAAATAGCAATTATCATGACGTTTCTCAAAACTATCTAATCGTAAAATTCTATCACATTATACTATGATGTCAAAGGTATTTAAAAAAAAAAAAAAAACTAATACTGTGGCAGTAATGGTAGTAATAGTGTAGTAGTAACAATAACGAAAAATGACAATAAAAGCCGAATCAACATGAACAACAATAAAAACAATAATTATCGATACATATTTTGTAGTGGATAATTTTTGTAATTATGTTATGATTAATGTATTGTTTACAATTTCACGCATAACGTAGTTAATAATTTATTTGCGCGTAAGATCTATTGACATATAACCATCCAAAATCTATTTTACTACACGAAATTGGTAAATAATAGGTATCGATTGTTAAGAAAAAGTAGTTTAATCATTTATTTTAAAACTCAGAAAAGACGATGCATATCCTTAATTCTCCAAATTTATCGCCAGAAGGCGCCACGTTACGTTACACATTACGTATAGAATTGTTATAATTTCAATATTTAATCGAATTTCTTTTATGACATTTTCATTTGCGTTAAAAGTATGTCTATTAAGGACTACGAGGCCATTTAATCAAACTGCGATAAATATATTTCAATCAACAGTAATTACTTTATTTCTTGTACGGAAACAAACTTTAAATTTTTAATTTCTTAATTTGAAGTATTCCGACTTATAAATATTTAAATGTTTTGTCCAATATAATTTGAAAAGGCAATAATACGTTTGATATAATAACGAGAATCGTTTGTATATAGGATTCTAATTTTTTTCTATCTCTAACCAATCGAACAGTTTTTAAATAGATAATATGCATGTGTGTGTGTGTGTGTGTGTGTGTATATATATATATATATATATATATATATTTTTTTTTTTTTTTTAAAGCTTGTCAGTGTCTTTTTTGTTTGTTTGTTTGTTTGTTTGTTTGTTTGTTTTTTTTTTTTTTTTATAAGAAAGAAAAAAATTTACCATTTTGTTCCTTTGAATTACATCCATTTACAAGGCGCAAACGCTCGTCTTGTCGAGTAAGCGTTGTATTCACATCCAGTAAATCGGCATTTTTATTTGACCAACGACTCTTGGAAGCTTTCTGATGCAGCGGGGATGATCTTGCATTGCTCAAAGGAATTGTACTTTCAGATCGACCTGATGTACCTAACATAAAATAATTATTGATAAATCAATACTCATTCGTTAATTGCACAAGTGTTCCTAACGATTTTAATATGTGACTAAATTTGTTCTATACTACATACTCCATCCATCCGTGCCTTTACAAATTTTTTTTATATATTAAGCAATATTCTCAAGACTTAGTTTACCATGATTTGAATATTTTAGCAAAAGGAGACTAAAAATTACACATGTTTGTTGACCTTAGTGGTGAATAAAAAGTATAAATGGAATTTAATTTGTAATATAGCAACTAAACGAACAAAACTGTATCAATAATATTATACTTATTATCCAAAAAATTTAATAAATATTGGAAAAATTATGAAACAAAGCGAGCTCTCTTCTATTTATGAAGATATGGGAATTCTTCTAGTAAAAATAATCTTTTAATCGATTCTATTACTTAAGTACATAAGGTCAAAAATAAATTATAATATGATGAAAATACCTTAGTATAAAATTAAGATTAAAATTAAGAAAAATTCCTAATTATATATACCATGTAAACAACACATGATATACGTGTAATGATAAATTATGCGCAAACAGGCATATAACTATATTTGCTCAGAGATTAATACATATTCCAATAATTAATGATAATTAATAATTGAAGTAATTTTATTATCCTAATTATATTTGTCTATGCCACGGTAACTAAATAATGGTCCGATATAAGTAGTCGTTAATTAACTGTATGCTTGCTTATCGAGTTTGACAAACTTAGAAAAGATAAAATCTGAACTACGATAATGATAGAAAGAAGTCTAATATGCAAATAACAATTAATAATATATGCCAATAAATATCTATATAATTTGCTTTAAGTCATAGAGTATGAAAACAAATATTATAAATGGTTTAATTTGCATTTCAGCCGAGTTTTTTTTTTTTCTAAATGAAACCAGATTAATCTTGGCGCTATAGTATTTTTCATTAGCGACACTAATATCGCTTATAAAGTCGAATCATTCTTATGTATAAGAAGAAAGATCACTCATACTTGGAGTACGAATTGAAATTGTTGTTTCAAATATGTTTCTTATACATTAGCGATTATCTGTATTTCAAACTTTTTTCTTTTCATCGTTCGGACCGCTACATCCAATGAATTTTATGACATTATCATTTACTTGGATGAAAAATTTTCCAAATTTAATATTATGCGTACCTTACCAAGAATCCTTAGAGCTTATCGAAATATTTTTAAATTGGAATAGAAGATATGTATTATATTAAACATTTGCTCCGTAATATAATACAGAATAACGTTATATCACAAAGTAATCGATTACTCGTTTTGAATAAATACAGAAGTAAGAAATGAAGTAATGATGCTTGGGAATGTAATTTAAAGTGAAGATTCATTGTATAATCTAGAAAATTTTGAGAGATTGATCGTGTAAAGTTACAACTTAAAATGTTCGATGAAGAATTACCGCCTACCTTTCATTGAAATTGTTACTTTAATAAGTCGGCTACCTATCGTTATTATATCATGCTTTTCACTTGGAAGTTATTGCGAATTACGTAAAACAATGTCGATGAAAATCACGCACTGCTCTACTTTCCTCGTGGTTTATAGCATTTGACTCACCGAGGACGGACTGTGACTGCCATGTCACAATCTCTAATTAAAAATTCACTATAACCACATAAACAATCGAGCTTTGAGGAGCCAATATACGCGAGGAGTTAGTGGGCGTACGATTAGATTTGTTTTGCTTTCATTCCGCGTTTTGGAAATTCCAGCAACAGCAGCAGCAACAGCAGCAGCAGCAACAGCACCAGCAGCAGCAGCAGCAGCAGCAGCAGCAGCAGCAGCTATGTAACGCATAGCAGAGATAGATTATTGAGAGGGAATATCAATGCAACCGTGAATTAGGCAGAGCACGCGGATGCAAAGGAGTGAGTGAGTGAGTGAGTGGGGGGGGGGCGGAAAAGAGAGGGAGAGGAGAAAGGCAAAATCAAGTGGCGATAATGGCTCGAGGCTCGCATTCGTTCGCGTTCGCTGCTCACTGCACACGCAACACTGGATTTCAAAGTAATCGCGGACTCGTGGTCGCTACGCACGTACGTAGCCACGGACCTCACCTGATGTCATCTCCTGAGAAGTCATTTGCAAGAGGAGCGCGAGCTGTTGGCGCTCGGACATCCGCGCAGAGTAACCGCGGAAACGACTGTTACCGCCTGCGGGCATTCCGCCGTCTTCATACCTCGTATAATGACACAAAGGCCCAGTGCTCCAGCCGGGGATGCGAGCCCAGGTAACGCGCTTCGTGCAGCTTCGTGTCAAGAGAGTCCACAACACAAGCAGAGCGACGCGAACTTCCTCGAGTCCGTGTAAACAATCGCATCGAGAGAGGGCAAGTGAGTGAGTGAGTGAGTGAGAGGGCGGGATGGCGAGAGGGTAGGCGGTAGAGAGGAAGGGAGGGAGTGACAAACAGAGAGAATTGGGATGAATAAAGATATATAGATAGATTGAGAGAGAGAGAGAGAGAGAGAGAGAGAGAGAGAGAGAGAGAGAGGGAGAGAGAGTGTGTGTGTGACTTTGGTTGAGAAGAAAGGACACTGTGGGTAAGAGCGAGTGAGAGGGATCGCAGTATAACCTTAAAAAGCGGGAAGGACTGGCTGGTCTCGCGCCATTTTGACCTCCGGAGTGCGGGGCGCGCGACGCAAATAATATACCGTGGAGGATGCGGTGTGGCTCGCGCAGGCGAGCATCACGTCGACGCGGCGTTCTCTTCGACAGCCCGGGCGGACGCCGCGTGCGGCCTCGACACTTTTATCTCGTTTTTTCAACCCCCGTTCACGCAACACGATGCGGCATGTGTCCGCGCGAATCGTATGGCGGCCGTTCCACTGGGCCCACTGAGCCACGGGTGCGAGAGCGAGACGGAGAACCGCTGCGAGGGAGCGTGAGAGAGAGAGAGAGAGTGAGAGAGAAAGAGAGAGAGAGAGAGAATGATTGAGGGAGGGAGAACGAGCGCGGTGCGCCTTGCAGCGATTGTCGAAGGGTGGGGGAGCGAAGACGATGTGTCCGGTGCGCAATATGACGCAATAGCCAATCCGAGTTGGGACGCGTTCGCGCCACAAAACGCGTAGTGGTGTCGCTGGCAGCGACGCGGGATTCCTCAGGCTGCAACTAATAATGACGGCGGCGGCGACAACGACGACGACGACGACGACGACGACGACGACACGAGTTCGAGCGACGCTCAGACAGCCGCTGACGAAAAGAAAGAGCGAGTGAGAATGGAACAGGCTTGTCGTGGTGGCGAGGGGGAAGGGCGCGCGGTAGAACGAGAGAGAAAATCCAAACGCACCGCGCGATTATGTTAAGGTCTAGCGGGGGCGGCTTTATTTTGAAAATGTGGCCAGGTGAGGAGGACGCGTTATTGCGATAACCTTTGCCACTCGCATTGCCCGTTCTATTATTATAGATACCACCGCGCTTCATTAGGGTAATAATTAGCGATTCGTCGTGTGAACGAATGAAAGAAAGGAGAGGAAATGGAGTTTGAACAGTTTGAAGGGTGCAATCATTCTTTTGTGCCTCGATACTTGGGATAAGGTTGTACTTACCTTAGCTCATGGCTAAGTTAGTAAGTAAGCAGTAATAATAATAAATATTAACAAAGTCCACTCTTAATAAGATTCCAATGCCACGCAAGTGGCACTAATGTGGTGGAGAGCTATCGTTGGTACGAATGAGTGAAACTTTCTTCGATTTCGTAATGGCAATTTAATCGGCCGATACGATATGCGAAAATTCCATTATACACATTAGCAGCGTGACTTTATCAATGACCGAAGGTTCGCCTTATCTTGTTGGACGTCGCATTAACAATACAATGATAGGGAAGGAGGTATAAGTATGTAAAAGTTGAATGAATTTGGTTATTTGGATAATCCGGTGGGGCTTGTTTTTCGTCGAATAAATCATGATCAAATGTCTGGCTAAAATAATGAATAAACGGGATTTAGATATATAGCGGTTGATAGTCGTATCGTAAGTTATAAAAGTAGAATGAAGTAGAATAGGGGGACGTGTATCAGGTGAGTGTTACTATCGGAGAATTATACGAGTAAAGAAAAAATATGTGTGGTGTAAAGTTTACTTTTTCTTTTCTTTTTTATCTTTTTTTTTTTTTTTTTTTTTTTTTTTTTTTTCATTATTAACCATGTTTTCAATTAATCCACAGGAGATTTAATAAAATTATTTACAAAGATTATAAGCACATTTTACTTACATGTTTGCTCATGTTTTATTGCTCATACCCTACATTTCCCTGTTTCTTTCATATTCATTAAATCAATTAATGATAAAATTGCTTTCTCCGTAATTTATCCTTTTTGGCCCTGTTTATTGTTTATTCGTAATATAAATGTCGAATTATTTGTCGTAAAAAAGGGGTGCGCGAACGTTCGTAAATAAAAAAATGTAGTTCACCGTTATTTAATAGTAAGTTTACAAGAGTATTTAGAGTTATGGAAATTTTGTAGTGTTGTGAGTCTAGTTAATGTTAGAGTTGAATAAACATTAAATAAATAAGGTGCTAATGTAGGGCGAATCATAAATCAGTGATTAAAATTACTTTCAAAGTTTGCCAACGGATTCACCTGGATCTATGTAAATATTAGTTTGCCACGTTATTCACCTTCATTAACGTCCAAGACAAAAGAATTAATTCGAAGCCTTAGTGAGGGAATTTTAAGTGAAAAGCAGTAAAAAGTCTCCTCGAGCAACAATAATTCAATTACCCAAGTATGCAGCTGGCCTATTTGCCTTTAATCCTCCAAAATAAATAATATGACATTAATAAATAATTGCGTGCTCATTCATGGCTCTGAATCTCTTAAGCAACTTTTTTTTCTCCGTTCATTTCTGTTTTGCTTTGTTTTCTGATATATTAATAACGAACGCACAAATGACTTTCGTTAACATCAATATAATTTCAATTAATTAATCAAATTGCGAATGAATAAGCACTTTTCAAATTAGTGGTTTAACATTGTGTTTTTAATTTACCAATAATAACAACCGTTCGTTCAATCGTTCAATCGTCTAGAATAAACTAAATAAATCATCGAGTCAACAAAATGAATCAAAGGGCAATATAATGTAATATGCCAAGTATAAATTTTCTTATAAGTCTGTTGATTACCATTTCTTAAAAGAAATTTATAAAAAAAAATATAAAAAAAAAAAAAAAAAAAAAAAAACAGATAGACAACTAAATTAATAAATGTTCTACATACGTAGGTAGCAATTTTTCTCGATATACCCCGTCTTAAAGTAAAAATGTCGCTTCAACGTTGAAAATATACATATCTTTAATAAACATTATATTAAATGATATTTAAAATCTTCATTATACAAACACGACCAAAGTTTTTAATTCTTATTGTTATAAAATGAAGCATTGCTAATATGCATCAAAATATTAAGTTATTTAGTCAAGATTGGATTAGTTCATTAATGAAATTATATCGTTTGAGAAATAAAACATTCAAAGAATAGGGGATAAGCTAATGTTTCGATTACTTATTTACATAACGTAAAATTATATAAGTAAATAAATTTATATTTGTAACACATTAATACTCGGATATACATTATATAAATAACAGTTATTAATAATAAGAAAAAGAAAAGCGTGCAATTGAAAATCGTTCGAATCAGAAAATTGAAATAGATATTATCCAACCTATATATATATATATATGTATATATATATATTTTGTATACATGTAACAAAAGCTTAAGAATTTTAATTGAATTATTGATATATTTTTAATTTTACGCATTGTTTTTAATATCAGTTGTTTATCTCTTTTTTTTTTCTTTTTTTTTTTATATAAATTTTTAAATAATTGTGTTTTCTTATAAATTACATTCGGTTTATGAGTAACGAAAAAGCTTATAATAAGAAATAATTGAATGAAAAATAGATTCGATTTTTCATTAATTTTTTATTGTATTCAATGAAATCGTCTAACTAGGGCAGTCCTTTTATACATACACTCCCATTTTCATTTATAATTTGAGTTGCTTATCAGTCTCGATGGGTTAACAAGTCAAGTTACAACATTACCGACATATCTACAATATCATAAAGGGCATTACGCAGATGTACACTTACATTTCTTTTGTTTTTTTTTTTTTTTTTTTTTTTATTGTTTTTCATTGTCTTTTTATTGTTTATTAGCCCAAGGGTACTTGAAAGGATTCAAAAAAATTTTGTAAAGAGATGACAGAGAGAGAGAGAGAGAGAGAGAGAGAGAGAAGATAAAATAGAGTAACATGGTAGGAGACTTAACATCAGACGATGGTAATACACATACACACACATATAGCCTTCGCGGAATATATAAGCATAATTGATCAATTCTCTAAAAAAACCAATTGTCTCTTTGATCATGACATTCAAAATAGTTTTTGTTTTGTTTTGTTTTGTTTTGTTTTTTGTTTTTAAACAAATGCAGATGTTAATAAACAAACAATTGGATTGTTTTTAAAAACTATATCTTCAAAAAGAAGTTTCTGATAAGATAACATAAATACATATAAATATTTATAAATTAAGTTTAATTACTTTTTATTATTATCTCAAATATATAAATACAACGAATGTTAATATACATAGGATAGTAACAATATTAATGTAATATCAATAACTGTATATCTTAGTGTCTTTATCTAAACGATTACTCAAAAAGATTTAAATAGACCAATAGTAAATTACATATCAATTAACAATTAATCATCTCATTATATTTAACAATAAAGATTGTAAAAATGCAGATGGACAATTAGTTCTTAACACTTTTGCTCAAATGTTTATAATTCCTATCTAATCTAAATGAATCCTTCAATTTATATGATATTTATATACATTGGACATGTTATTTATAATTTGAGCACTAACGATTTTACTATATTTTTTGATAATAATACAGGTATTGGAATAAATGTATACTGTATCAGATAATCATGAAATAATGAAAGAAATTGATTACACATTTTAAATGAGCATATAGTAAGACATTGGGTTTCTCGAAAGTTGATCAACTTTTGATTTTGGTCAATGTTTATATATCAAGTAAAACACTATACTTCCATGTTTAATTATTAACGTTATACATTAATATCAACTTTAAAAAAAATCATAATTTTATTCAATAATTAATAATACTTTCTCATCTCTCACCCTTCCACTATTCGCAGAATCCTGCTTTTAAATGACCAAACATTTCACTTGTTTTCTATATATTTCTATTGTCTAATGTTCTAAGGCTACTAAATAAACATTTTTCTTCTTCGAGGTACTTCTTAATACATCGATGATAATGATGATGATGATGATGACGACTACCACGACGACGACGACGACGACGACGACGATGACGAGAATGATGATGATGGTAATGACTAGAGGTAAGGTTAGTAAAATGTGTTTATTATAAGCCATTTTATAAAATGATTAGCGGCATTTAATATTCTCATCCTAGCGTTTATGTGATAAATTGTATGTGGTAAAGCTTTAATGTGCAAGTTAATTATAGTTATTGCACACAATGATCATACACAGTTTACGTTACCTTCCGTATTACGTTTTTGTAAATATCTTTTATTCTTTTAATTATGAAAAACAGTTTGGTATTTTATAAAATATTGCAAGATTTAATTTATGTATTTTTTCCACTATAATGCATTGGTGAAAATTTCTTATAATTTAAAAGTGTATCTTTAAATCTTGCACACGTGGTTCTTATAAAACGGTATTTGATTTTCTTACAAAGCATACCGCCTCATAATTAATATTATTCCAAATTCTAATTACTATCTAGTGTGATTGGAACTGCAATGGTACCTTTTAGACCGTTATTCTGATTTACTTTTTATGTATAATATATGAGTTTAGTAGCTACTCGACCAACGACAATGTAAGAAACATTTTGCCAATACTTTTACATTAAACTTGGGTACATTTAATACAAGATCTATCATGTGGTAAAATCGATTTCATCTAATGTAAAAGAATTATTTAAAAAAATTTCACTAATACACACGAGAAGTTCTTTCTAATGGAAGTGCAAAATTTTCTAAACAAGCCAATTAGCCAAGCTAAATTATAATCTTAGATTGTTGCTTAACTGTTATTTACCAATAATGTCCTTTTACACTAATCAATAAGTCTTGGATCTTTAATGAATATTGACCAATTTCATAAAGTTTTCAAGCATTCCATTTAAAAAATTGTCAATTTTATTCAACTTTTTAACGAGTTAATTTAATTAACTTAATTAATTTTACTATTATGCATCGTGATAAATGCAAATATAACGAATTTAACGAATATAAGACAAATAATTATTAATAATAATTAATATATTACTTGAAATGGTTTGACAAACTACTTATGTTTTCATAATATTTGGCTACGCAGCCCTGTAATTTTTTTCTACCAGTCTTGTTCCTTCTTGGTACCTAGGTATTATAATTTTTTTTTCTATTTACCGTGAATTGATCATTTCTTTATGCCTTTTAATCAATAATATTAATTATACGATTACGTAATCTTTACACTTTTAATTCTAATTTAAGAAACTTATTTACATTGAGCAAGTGTAGCTATGAAGATGTTAGATGCAAATCCAATTGTTTCAAATGAACAAATATGGCACACATAAATTTGGCGTGCGCTATGCACTTATTCGTAATCAGCTCGCGTAATTTTTCATGGGAAGACTCGTGAAGCTTGATTTCTCGAATAATATTGTTTGATATTTAGCAAGCTTAATAGAGACACCAAAATCTGCTTGTCATATTACGTTAAACACATATGTAATACACGCATATTCAAAGCAATTTTTCATTAATTCGATAGTTAAGATTGGTCGCGAGGAAGCCAAATAGCGTCATATGTATAAAAATGATTTTTTATTGCAAATTCGTAAATGATATACTCAGTTGATTAATGAATAATTTTCGATTGAGTGAATATTATTCGTACAAACGAATGCTGCTTTTAAGACGAATTAATAAGTAGTGAAAATTTAGTGACCTTAATTATTAATTATTAAAGGTTCATAAGGATGATAGATTTCGTACATAATTATAATCGTAATCTCATGTCCTTGCAATTGCAATCGACTGACCAACAATTACACACCACGACGCAATTTGTTATTCCTTTACCCACGTATATCAGACTTTCATCAAATAAAGCAAAATAGATAATCGATCCCTCGTGTCAATTCCTCGCTATCTCATTACAATGATTAATCCAGATAATATGGAAAAGTCGAGAACTGATTGGAACTCAATGTGTTTCACGTAGGCGCGCATGACGAACAATTGCCATATCTTGATTATTACATTTGCTTATTGAGGCTATCATAGTTAACGATTAAGTTCACTCGCTCTCCTATTCCTTCAATGACGGCATTCCCTTGTCGATTGACAATTACATTAGAGATAATAGACTGCACACTTGTCGACGACCGCTGCGAATTCTCGTTTATTGTTCGTCGCGTACACGCACACACACACGCACACGCATACGTGAACATAGAAGTGCCAATATCGACGATCTACCAATTCGCAGAACTCTTTTTCTTTATTCGCGTATTGAAAGCAGCAGCAGCGTCCTCGTGTCTCACATAAAAAGCAAACCCACCGCGAACAGTGGCTTTGATATTGTCCAGAAAGAAAGAAAAAAAAAGTCGAAATAATAAAAAGAATAATAAATAAATAAATAAAGTAAATAAAGAGAAAAAAAAAGAAATAACATAATAATAAACAAGGAGCTGTGTGCAATGAAAGAGATGACATCTGAATATGAAGTTGTTTTTATTGTACTGTTATTCGGTAAATATGAATGAGCTTTAAAGAATTTCTTTCGCGTATCATTGGCAGGCAACAAATAACCATTTTAGAAAAGTTCTCTGCGTTCATCGTTCACGGTCTCGCTCCGTGTATCGATCGAGTTCGTATTTGTTTAGAACTCCGTAAGCCCGGAAGAGCTCCGACATATTAAACAGCAATAATTCCCCGTTGCCTTCCAATGGCACTGCTAAGTATTTGCTAAATGCTTATGATTATTATAATAATAAATTTTCTATGCACAATTTGGTAATTAAACGCGACTAAGATGATAAAATTTCGTGTTAAAGAGTCACGATTAATAATAATGATGATAATAATAATAATAATAATAATAATAATAATAATAATAATAATAATAATAACAATAATAATAACAATAATAGTGATGATAATAATAATAAATGATAATAATAACAATAATTATAATAATAGTAGTAATGGTAGTAGTAATCGTAGTAATAATAATAATAATAACAATAATAATAATGAAAACAGAATAATGCAATAAGCTAATAAGCTGTCGGTGAAAAGAAAGAAAAAAAATCTAACGTTTACGTTACACTAAAGCGAGGATACAGCGTTTTAAAAATGTTTACTAAATCGTGAGCTATACATGCGAATCTCAAATGATGAAACTTAGCAAATCGATGATACAAAAAAGATTAAACAAACAAAAAAACAAAACAAAAAACAAAAAAAAAAATATTAAAGGGGAAAAAAAGAGACACAATCTACATGTTTGTGTATAAAATAAAACACAGAGTAAATTAAATTAAATACTTAAATACGTAATAAAAGCGTAAAACGACGCTGGGTGGGTGAATAATCGAACCCCGTTATCATGTGTATGTACAGACGCACGCGCCGCAGGTTGACGCACAAGGGCGAAGAAGGCGTCTCGCGCAGGAGGGCCGTCCCTATCTATGTATGTAACGGCCGCTGAGGGAGAGGGCGAGCATGTCAATGGGCAAGGATCCTCGTCGCTTGGCTAGGAGAGGGGACGGGTCCGCGACGTGGAGGGCCTCCCGCTTGCTGGGGAGGTCGCGCCTCGACCTGGTGGACCAAGCACCGTTATCGTTGCCGTCGGCACCGCTGGCGAACATCTCGGGGCCGCCGCTGCTGCGCCTGCGCAGCAGTTTCTTGCTGCGACGTGTCTTCGTGGCGACGAGGCCACGGCCGAGGAGATCGCACGGCACCGAGCCCCGTCGGGAGCTCAGACCCTCCTGGTGCCCGAGTCGCACGAGTCCGATATTATTGCTCCCAGTATTGTTGTTGTTGGCGTTGCCGCTGTTGCTGTTGCCGTTGTTATTGTTGTTGTTGTTATTGTTGTTGTTGTTGTTGTTTAGGGGCCGATTCTCACGGTCATCTAGAATACAAATTTAATTATTAATATTTGTCGGAAATTTCGCAATGTGTTTGGTTTAAGGTCGAGGAGTCCGTTACGTATGCGTGCGTGTGCATTGTTGAGGATTGCGTGATTTTTTTCTCTTATGCGATTCAAAAATTATTCTTAGAGATCGTAGATTAACGATCATACGTCAGAGGGAGCAATATAATTTGAAATTATAATCAATAGGATGAAAGTTGAGAAGTGGACGGCATTTAATTATCTATCGAAATTAAGCTTTTTAGAGCATGTTTTTACTTAGATTATTGCGTCGCTACTGAAGAAGCTACTAATTGCGTTTTATATAATGGATTTGATTTTTCTTTTAATTTAACATATCAGAATTTGGTAGAAAATTAATATCTAATGCATCTAATTGATTTTTTCGTCACGAAGGACGTAAAAAAAGAATAACAATAATAATAGTAATAATAATAATAATAACAATAATGACAATAATAACATGAACAGGGTAAAAAATTATAAAATGAATTTTGTACTTTAATGTCATAGAGAAAGCTTTTATGTTAGTAATGTCAAAAATACTATTGAATAACCTATTAAATAAATTAATCATCCCCGATAATACAATTTCGTCATCATGTTTCATCGGCTCTTTGACATTTGCTGTAATATAATAATAACAACAACACAAAAAAAAAAAAATAATAATAATAATAATAATAATAATAATATATATAATAATAATAACAATAACAACAACCGCGACAATAATAATAATAATGCAAATTACGAATGATAGAGCCTTATGAATCGAATTTCAAAACAAACGTTCGTAATTCTCAAACAAAACAAATGTAATCATCGCGTATTACATAAATAAATAACAAATAAAATACAATGATTTTAAAGAATGTGGAAAATAAATATTAATCATTAGCAGGATTATGAATAGGAACACGAGAAGCTAATACTTAAAATCGTTCCGTGTATTAAAATTTATAAACTACGTGATAACTAAACGGCATTATTGCTTTAGCCAGGAATGTGCGGGACTTATTAAAAAAAAAAAAAAATAATAATAAAGACCGTAGTTAAGTTACGAGAATTAATCTTAAGTTTAGGGAAATCCATCAACTATCTTTAGACCTTCTTTAGACAGTTTTTAATAACACGAATAATATGCTGAATGCTCGCGACAAGTGAAATTTCATTGCAAATAGCGGACGATTAAATTTTGCTTATTATAATTAATGTGCTTGATCAAACTAATATAAATGCATCGAATTCGTTTCAAATTAGAAATATTCAATGTATGGAAGAAATGTATGTACCGAGAGCTTTAGGCGTATAAATATTAGGGAAAAGAGAAAAAAGTAACGGGCAGCTTAAGCGCTTTTATGTTTATTAGCGATGGATAATAATAATAATTGGAAAGTCGTGGGATCCGTAAAATTTGTGCGACGTCAAGATGTTTCGTAGCCAGATTATCAAAATCTTCCAAAACAAGTTCATTCGTATTCTCGTTGATCGCGCGCGAAAGCTCAAGTCACTCAATGGGGATCCCAATGAATCCGAGCCTCAACTCACAATAACAAACATTCTCAATCTCCTGAAGCTCCGAGTATTCATTCAATTGTAAATCTATCGGACGTAGAGGGGATGCCCGCGCTATAGGGAATAATCGATGTATATTTTGGCTTACCCGGATCCTGCGCGAGGTTGCCGATGAGATTGCCGAGGGCCGTCTCGTGAGGTAGGCTCGAGCGTCTCCTGCTGCTCGTGATCTTACCCAATCCGATCCTGTTGACCCCTCCATCTGTGCAAACAAGCGGTAATAGGTGAGCATAGAGAAGGTGTCGCTTGTTGGCGCTGGATAAGGACTTTGACTGACTTGGGTGGCCGGTGATGTCAGCGGGTACAGATCCTCGTCTCGAGTATGGCTCGATCGTACGGTTTATCGAGAGCGTGGCGTCGTCCAATCTGGCCAGGAGTCCCACTGGTGCCGAGCCTCTCCTTCTCGCCCAGCCCTGAAATTCACCCGATGAAGCTCCGATTGTCGTTGCTGCGCTTCATCATGATGATGTGAAGCCGCCGCTCCCGACGCGGCGCTTACGACGCGTCGCATACGCGGTGACTTTGCGAATTTTCCATTTTCCATTACCCGAACATTAAGGTTAAAGAATTTAATTGCTCCCGGTTAGGGCTTAATAGCCATTGGCAATTTCTCACTAAGATTGTCGCGAGATTTTCATGAATTTCAAAACAAATGCCCTCGTTACGTATTGTAGTATTGGACAAAGCGATGACGCTTCGATGTTCTCGGTTGCGCGAGCGAGCATTTTAAGCTACTCCCCGACCTACTTTGCCACGCGACTCTCACTCTACGCTCCTTTTTTAAAAGACAAAGGGGTAAATAATTAATTTATCTTAAGCCTTTGGAAAGTCGAAACATCCGACGTCCTTTCACGAGCATGCGTGAATGATTTCGTTCACCATCACTGGGAATAACGAAACGAGGGTGCAAAAGAAGCTAAAAGCTAAAAGCTGAAAAATCGTTAAATCGAATTGAAGTATTAATATCGACGAAATGCAATTGTAACAATGATGAATGATGCGTCAGGGCGGTATTTACAATTAACACGGGTAATTGTACCGTTGGACGGGGGAAACGTCGCGAGCTACGATCTCTGAAATAAATAATTTTTTATTTGAGGCGGTGTTTGGACTTTAGATTTTCCCGATTAACGTTAACTAAGAAGCTCCCGTTAGCTCCCTGGGAAGTCGCATCGCTCAACGAGGCAGAGTGGAATAACGAGAGGGCGGGGGTTGGATTGGTAAAGCCGACCTGATTGCTGGAGCGTCGGGCGGTAATAGCGTGCGAGCCCTTAGCGATCTCATCAATGAGCCTCGGGTCGACGTTCTCCTTCATGAGCTTGAGCATCTTGGAGCTCTTCTCGCGTCCGTAGTCGCCGTAGTCCCTCTTGTTACCGGGTAGACTCACGCTGTCGACGCTTCTGCGGGGCTCCCCGGTGACACTGCCGCTGCCGCCGCTGTCGCTCGAGGGTGTCGTGCTCGCGTGCCTCGGCGGCGAGTCCGGTGGACTGCCGATAAAGAAGACCTTGTGGCCGAGATCCGAGCCCGTGTCCTCCTCCTCCTGGGTGAGGGGTATCGTGGTGAAGCGGCGCCCTGAGCCGCCTCGGGCCTTGGATTGCGCGGGGGTCGAGTGCCGGCGTTGCTCGGCTACGGGCCGCAGGTGTCGCTGCTCGCCAGCGAGCTGCTGAGGCGAGCCCGAGAGGGATGATGAGCTGTCGGCCTCGATGAGTACCTCCGTACAGCACTGTGACATCTCCACCGTCGTCGACATGTAGCGCGTACGGGTGTAACTTTGGACAGGTGGGAAGGTCTGCTGGCGCGTAAGGGTCGACTGGCGCTGCGCCGTCGATTGTTGCTGATCCACCAGCTGCTGGTCCCTATACGTGGGTGGAAAAATACGGTGACCGTCCGCGTTATTTGTCTCTAAATGAGATATTAAATCCTTAAGCCCGTTTTATCGCGCTGTTAGACTGTTAATTTCGGTTGTCAATTCGGTGCGATGGAGCCAAGGGCAGTCAGAAGCGAAGGTTGGCTTTACGCAAAACGAAAAATCATGACGTTATTCGCCTGTTTAACGCTTTCGTTATTGCTTTGTGTAATGTAATGCTACGTATTAGGAAGAAATATCTACATAAATTTGTAACCTCGTTTTCTTTTAATACCTCATATGAGGGTGAAGGTGATTGTGTGTGTGTGTGTGTGGGGGGGGGGGGGGGGGGGGGGGGGGGGGGTGAGAGGACCCGGAGAGTCAGAAAGCAAATCAAATTAGAAAGTAATTTTTTCTTTTAATGAGACAGTTAATTTCTTATATGGATTCGCTATAGAAATGAAAAACTTTTTCCGATTAACAAGCTTTTAGATCAGTTTTTGTTGTATTAATTTACTCCATTTGACATGGCTGTTCATTACTGCTTGTACCCCCACCCCTCTCTCACCCTGCCCCAACTGGCTTTGATTAATTCGATAATTCTGAATAACGGCCTTGCTTTATTCTCCAAAAAGGGAAGTCACTTTTTTTTTATCCGTCTGCGATCTTTTAAATCATTAATTTATCTTTCTTTTTTTGCAAAAATGAAAATACATTTTTTAGTTTACTTAATCAACGATGGATTATCTGTATTATTATTTTAATATAAGCACTATCCTTACTATATATATATATATATATATATATATATATATATAATATTATTATCTATTATTTATAACTTCCAATACTCTTCTCTGTGGATATTAAAAAATGTATTATTATTGTTATAATTTTTATTTATTTTTTTTGTTTGTTTTAAGCGGGTTCTGTTGGCTACACACACGCCAACAAAAGAGACATACTGACATCTGGAAAAGTATCAAAATTTCGCGATGTTTAAAGGCTAGTTTTTCTTCTTCTTTTTCTCCCCCCCCCCCCCATCCCACACCACATCAGAAAACGACATTGCTTATAAAGTGCATTTTTATAATTTTTTTTCTGTAAAATGTAAGAGCTGAAATAAATGTAGTTGGTACAATTGATTTTAACGTCGTTTTCCTTATTTACAACGTTCGAGAAGAAATTTTAGTACATTTCAAATATTATATTTGAATAATTTCAATAATCGATACTCTCGTTTCCCATATTCCGATGGATTTTTTTTTTTTTTTTTTTTATTTCGTATTGAAATATAATGGTAGCATTATTGTAAAGAAATCCAGAGGCCCATTGGTAATCATATCCTCCGGTACGGTAATTTATAGAGCCAGAGCTTTAAGAAATTACCAATCTCGATAATAAGGAATTATTGCCGGTAATGTAATCTTTAGTAGTAGAAAATGAAAGGGCTAGAACGATTACAAGCCCTATTAGGTAAGCGCGTGCAAGCTCTTATGAATCAAAAGATTTCGTCGGAACTGAGTATTTATTGAGGTCATAGAAAGTAATATCTACATGATTAAATTTCTCCCTGTAAGGTATTCGCGTACCCGCTCGATAATCCACGCAGTCTTACTAATCCTAAATAAAGGTAGATAAATAGAGACCAGACAAACAAAAGAGAGTGGGAGAGTGAGATAGAGGGGACCAGGACGACAAAGAAGATTGATATAGTCTTTGTGAGCTTACCAGGGTTGCTGCTGCTGCTGCACGAGGCTACTGAGCCTCGAAGCCTCGAGACTGTTGGCGATACTGGCGATGCTCGTGTCAGGAAGGAGATTTTCCGCACTGACGGGCCTCTCGGGAGCCGCGGGCGAGCACGAGGTTGTGCTCGGCGATTGCTCCGAGCGATGGTAGAGGCTGCCGCGCGACGATAGTCTCGAGGGCACGAGAGCCACGCCACCCGGGAGACTTTCGCGACGGGCTGTCATCGAACGGGGCGCCAACGAAAGACTCCTCGTAACCCCGAGGGGTACGGAATGTCGACGACCCTCGTGACTCGGAGCCGGGAGCACGGGAACCGGAAGCTCCACGCTACCCGAGTCTTCTTCCGTGCCCTGTAATGGGGTGGAGGGGTGGCAGGAGGGCAGGCAGGATGGGAATGATGGTAGAGACGCGAGGAGATGAAGAAAATAAGAAAATGCGGCTTTAGTCATCGTTGGGTAAAGAGACGATCGGCGCCGGGTTTCAGAGCCAAAAACTTTTTCGCCCCGGACTTATCGCGATTGGCATTCTTTCTTCCGCGCCGTTACGTTTAATTTTTCCTCTCCCTGCGTTCGTTCTTTCGTTCGTTCATTCGTTTGCGTTCGTTCGTTCGGTTTTTTATCGCGCAAATAACGCGAGAAAGAAATTCGGGCTTACTTTGCTCTTTCTTTTAATAGATGGGTGTGACGCTCTTTGCAGGTTATAAATAATATTTATACGGCAATAAATAATCGTAAATAAAGCGACCGTTCGTTTACCACGGCTTATATCGTCCCTATTTATGTTTTTCTATCGAGTTTTCTTCTTTTAAACTTAGCCATTGAAGGGGAACGAACGAAGGCGAGCGATTAATGCACTAAGAATGACATTATTCTTCGGTATATCATAGCTACGCGTGGAGTAGGAATTTTTTTCGTGCCCAATGGACAAGATGACGGAATCTCGGAACGCGGACTAAAGCGCGAAAAAATATCACGAGATAACAATGCCGTGACATATCTATAGTAAGCGTGGGTTGAATTTTGTCGGGAGCCGTGTCTTCCTCGTCGTTGGCTTAAATCGCCGTAGCAAATTTAGTCCATATTTTCCTCGGTTTGCCGCACGTATAAACGAATGAGAGAAGTCCTTTCCTCCCAACGGTCACCGCGCTCTTTTACATATTTATATCACGGGGTACAGGGCGTTAGTACGTGGGCGTCTTTCCGTATTGATCGTAGCGAGTAGCTAAATGTGCGAAACGCATTTAATTTATAATGCCAGAAGGACATGGGCGAGAATAATATTGCCGGTATGGCGGTAATTATGGGCACTGGTTTCACGTTTATTCGCCGTTTATTGTTAAGCGACTTACATAATTCGTACGCCCGTATTTAGCGTAAAATGTCAACAAACTACTGATCGAACGGCGATCGGCGAAGTACGGCGAAGTACGGCGAAGTACGGCGAAGTACGGCGAAGTATGGCGAAGAACGGAGAAGGAAGCGTAAGCGGCGGCGGCTACTGCCACCGTACAGCGGCAAACCGGTTTAAGCGCAACTCAACCTCCTTATGAAAATCCGTTTGTCGCGCGAATGTTGGGCACGACGAATTCGCTGATGTGACGAGCGAGAGGGAAAAAATCGTGGTAACGCGCAAACTCTCGACTCGAGTCACCAAATTATGCAACGCGTTTCCCGCTCGCGATTTCCAAGCGGTTTTCAGCCAATGTGGCTTTTGTTAGTGACGCAGTCAATGGAGGCGCGTTATACGTCCCGGCGGCACTGACCTCGGATGCCTCGATGGTCTCGATCGCGGGCTCGGGCATCTCCTGGGCCGCGGTCTCCTGCTGTATGAGGGCCTCCCATTGGCGCTGATTAGCCCGCAGGTGACGCATGAGGGAGCGGCTGAAACCGTCGTCGAGGAAGCGATGCCACTCCTCGTACAGCGGTAGGACCACGAATTTGAAGAAGCCCGCCTGGATCTTGGGGATGCTGGTCGTGTGGCGATCGCACAATGCGGTCACGGGAAGATTCAACTGGCGCTCGTAATCGCCCTGGCGGAAGAACTCCTCGCAGACCTTGTAAGACCACTTGCGCGATATGTCCCAAGGTCGGCAGGGATTCGAGATGTCAGCGCACTTTAGCGCGATCTGGAGGATGAAGTGCCGATGCTCCGGATACTGCATGTCCAGCTCCCGATTGTCCAGATAGTTCTGCCGATGGGGGAGATAAATAAGGACACACGCCCACTATAATCATTTTTCATCCTGGTTATCACATTCTCGTTATCGTCTGTATAAACCCTCAGCGCCGTACCATTTATTATAAGATCGAGCGGCCAAGTTCTGCGTATTATGAGTCGGCGTGGCCGATATTTTACGTAATCCGAAACCATATTTTTCCATAGAAAGCCGGAGGAGAGTTGTCCGAGGGTTCATTTTTTACGCGCGACTAAATCTGGCCTACATCCGAACGAAGCTCGGGGATACGTTCAGCCATCAAACTCGTGCGAATACACGATTGGCGTCGTAAAAAACACGAGGACCGTTAGATAGGATATTTTTCGCATAAAATACGATTAGATATTATCAGGTGGGGGGGGGGGAGAGGTCTGGCAGACAGTCAAATGATGGCTTTCGATACTACGGGTGTCATAGTTCGTATCGATTACATAATCTATTATTTCACGACCCAATGATAATTAATTAACTCCATAAATGTGACAGCGTATAGTAAAATTAATGTCATATATTCTTTATTGATTGTGATCGTTGTATGCATTTTGTTTGGCGTAAATTCATTCATATAATAAATTATAATTACCATATAATTGTGATTAATGTTTAATACCGATGAGCCTGGCCAAGCACAAGCAGTAACGAAGATCTAGCGTATTTACATTCGATTATTTAGAAATTTATTTTTAATTTTTAAAGCAGCTATAAAAATAAATTACTTTGACAAATTATTTCATAGCCAATCGTCTTTGGCAATCTTAAATTTTACTCAAAGGACTTATTTAAACATTAATTTATAAGTCCAGAGGTACATGCAACAAGCAACAAAGTATTTATCAATCATAGTTTGAATTATGATTCTTTCGGACAACAAGTTTTATTGTACAATATTTTAAATGATGAAAATAGCAAGCGACCGATAAATATTCAGATAAATATTCATATTTACGATCAATAGAGTATGTGAAAATTTTAAGAAATCTGGATTTCATAATGAGCGACTTATATTCCTTAAAATAAAAAATATGTAATATCTTGAATATACGTACATAAATACCAACACACATATGCACAAATGCGTGTAGATATACGCGCGGACATCAATACACATGTGTATATTGATAATTTTTTATTACATATTTGTAATTAATATTTGTTGAGTCAAAAATTTATTTATTTTTTTTTTCTTTATTATTATTTATTTTTTTTTAAATTTTAAAAACATTAAAATTTTGCTTTTCTTCGTCTTTTTCTTTTTTTTTTTTAATATATATATTTTTTTTTTCTTGAACACATTTCTTTCGTTCTGGCCTAAAAATACTTCGTAAGGTCAGAACAACATTCGTGACTCGTAAGAGACACTATCTGATAAAGTATAGATGATTAAAGCCTGTCAGTGTCTTATTAATAAGATTTATCGTTGTTCCGAATTTTAATGCCCCCCCCCCCCCCCCAGTTGGATGCGAACCAAAGACTTTAACAAAAGAGGTAAATATGTACTTCAACATTGTTTCCAACAACTCCCAATTAATGTTCTGCTCTCCTTTGAAGTTTTCAAAGAGAAAAGCATACACTTTAGCGAATTGCCATTTAATAGCGTCTAAGTCTCTCAAAATAATGCAGGCAACAATAGTCGCGCTGATGCCAAACTAGCGGATGCTAAATAAAATGCACTGTATTTGCAAATTTAACGTCGAGCATGTGGAAATAATGAGAGCGCTTCATTCGATATCCGAGACACGTATAAGTTTTTAAGGGCGTTACATAAGTTAAACTTTCGTACGTTGCATTCGATCTGACGAAATTCAAACGTGCGAGGCATTGATTTACGATTGGCGAAGTGCTCGCGCAGATTTAAAACCGTCTTACTAATAATATTAGTGCGCTATAAATACTTATTTTAACGCTACTACTCATTCCTCGAACACTCTCGATACTCCAACAACAAATCAAGCGCCCACTACATCATTACGAAACACCTTTTTCATCGTTCACGCGAAAACATTGTGCAGCAGCAGCAGCATTAAGAGGGAGCTTTTACGCGTGTCAAAAGCACGGCTGTGTACGAGAGAGCCTGAAGCCTCGTTGTTTGCATACCTTGAAACGCATTAAAAATTCTTGCTGCCGCGTTATGTCAGTGGCGAGAATGAGAGAGCTGATGTGTCGCTGAAGCTCGGGCTTCACTCGATCCGGGAGCTGCTCCGAGACTCCGCTCTCCAAGAGACAGCCGACTGCCGACCTCCAGTGATGGTTCTCCAAAACCGATGTATTCTGAAACGGAGATTTTTAGAATATATGAGTGTGTGTGTGCGTGCGTGCGTGCGTGTGTGTGTGTGTGTGTGAGAGAGAGAGAGAGAATAAAGGTAAAAAAAAAACAAAATAAATAAAATTATGAGTAAAGAATGGGGAACAAGTTTGGGCCAAACGATTATCGACACAATTTATCGACTGCTTCGATAAAATTTTTGTTGGAAGTACATAAAGCGTTCAGTTACCACAAAGTCTTGACAATTCGTGTCAAAATAAGAGCGAAGAAGCGTATAATGGCATGAAGCATAATTTATATGCCCGCTTCCTTGTCTGTCTGACCGCGTGTACGCATTTTACCTTTGTCTCTCTTTTCAATTTTAAGAAAAAAAAAAAAAAACTAAGATAAAGAAAAAGAAGAAGAAAAACAAGAGAGAGAGAGAGAGAGAGAGAGAGAGAGAGAACAAAAGAAAAAAGCCTACTTAAATGCTTACAGCGTTACGTTATTTTCTATTATAGTATCGAGATACGATTGATAATTTCACTCTTCCCGAGTAGCGCCAATAAATATCTGCATTTCCACGTCATACGCTACTTTAAACACGAGAACAATAATTTAAAATAATGCACGTAAATTTATGAAATAAGTTTCGCAGATTGGGTTTGAAAACTAATCATGTGTAAAAAACTTTTAGACAGCTCACTACTTTCTGAAATGGAAAATGCTTCGGAACAATAATACCATTGATGTTTGTCGTACGTACAGAACGGACTTTGTAATCATTTCTGTTGACGTTTCTAGGACATTCTCAGCTTCAAAAACATTCGTATGTTTATGTCTCCGTGCCTCAACCAAACATTTATCAGTATCAATGCTGTGCGAGCTTGATCGAATTCGGTTCATTCTAAGCCCTTTCGTAACTCAAGGTACAATTAATGTCAATGGAAGACTAAATTTGTATTATGAATATCTACTATCCTTTAATCGCTATTCTACAATAATAAATAAGAAATCGTATTGTCATGCCATTCGCCCATTCATTCCCTCTTTACTGGATTACTGGAACATAAACGTCAAAGCCACTGTAAATACAATACCAAACTATTTATTAACCATTAATAATTAGGAAATTGCTTGTGTAACAGCATTTAATGCTCAAGTAAATGTAGGAGAGCTTGGAAAGGCAGAGAAATATGAAAAACAGCTATTTGTATATAGGTATTGTGCAGAAATGTAATACAAGATATTTTGGTGGCACG